GGGTTTGTGCTCCCAGCCCCTCTCCAGCCTCGCTGCCTCCTCCAGATGCACTCGAGCATCCCAAGGTCCTTCCCAAACTGAGGGGCAGAGCTGGGCACAGCCCTCGAGTCCCTCCAGCCACCCCTGCCCTGCCTGGGGCTGTCTGCACTGGGGGTTATCTCTGGGATGAGCCTGGAACTCAGCAAACCTTTCAAACATCAGGGCTGAGTGAATGTTCCCCAGCCCTGTGTCCCCTGCTGAGTGAATTCCCTTTCATCCTCATCATCCTCACTGTAATTTGGCAGAGCTTCATCAAGTGCTGCCCCTCTGTCGCTGTTGAGGCAGGGACGGGAATAATGAGACTCCAAGATCAGAAGGCAAGGAATGAAAAAACTTTATTAACAGCTAGTATTCCTCTTTTATTGCTGAGGTGAAGCACGATTGGTCTCAGAGTGAAAACATCTCACCCCACTGGTGCACTGTGAGCAGCACACGGTGGCAGAACAGATCTACAAACAGCATGAACAGAAGGAGAGATAATAATTGTTTACATTCCTCTCGGAGCTTTTCCCAGGCTTGGCCTGGTGGAAATCTCTCCTTTTCTCTCTGACTGAACTGAGAACATCCACACCCCTCCACCCTCTGATCCTCAGCCCCAGCACTGTTCTCCTCTCCTGGATTTAGGCTGGGATTGTGTTGCAGTACAGCAGATGGGACTCAGCTTCTTCAGGCAGGAAAAGCCAATTTTTTATTCACATAACTCATTTGTATACAGTTTTCACAGACTTTGTGTTTAACTCCAATTGGCTAGCAGACTTCTTGCCACCCAATTCATTGGTTAAAAAGCGTTTGTGCGTGTTTTTATCTACAGGTGTTTACATTTTTAATTCATGGATTCTCATGGGACAGATCTTCTGTTATTACAGGTGCAATTTGTTTTTCTTTAGAGGAATAGGTTGTTATGTTAATTGGCATTTTATTTCTTTGATTTTTTTTAATGGGAACTTATAGGCTTAGCTGGTGATTCAGTAGAGCAAAGCCTGATTTAAAAGGCCTTTTTTAAAAATAATATATTGTGACCAATGGAATTGCTCCAAAGTGCAATTTCCCACCCAGTTTGTGCTGAGCCATTGCAGCCTGTCCTGCTCTGTTCCATGCTCTTTTTTCTGGAGAAATCCCATGGAATTGGGGCAGTTTAGGGTCCTTGCTGGGATTCCTCCCTGTGGGAAGGCAGCAGCCTCCTGCACTGCCTGGATCTCAATTTAATGCAGGAATTCCTCAGGTCATCAATAAACCTCCCTAACGATTCCATTCAACATTAAAGCCACTTAAACGGCTTTTTATTTCCCATTTATTACTCTGTGTTTCCTCTTATAACTCTGGCATTTTGTGGGTTTTTTCTTCACTATGTCATACAGTTTAATATTCATATTCTCTCAGGTCAAGTGTGAAGAATTCCAAAGGAGCTGAACCAACACAAATGCTCTCCTTGCCCTCCTTTTTTTCCTCCTCTTCTTCAGCTCTGCAACCCTCCAGTTTATTTGGGGATTCCTCTCCACTGGCACGAAGGAATTTCATTGATCCCAGTGTGAGAGATCCCCTCCTGTGCTGGTTTAACAAAGGGGAAAACCCTTCATTAATGAAAATACCTGGAAAATGAAAATACCTGGCATTATGGGGCTGCATTTTGAACAACCCAGTTTCTACCCTCACTTTTAAAACATTTATTCCGTCAGAGAGCTTTGAGTTAAGTTATTGCACAGAGAAAATGAAGATGGGGTTTGTTGTTTTGATGTTCGTTTTGACATTTAATTTTGATGTTTAATTTCTCCATTTTTTTTTTTTAATTAAAAGAGGTATCATCAGTCTCAACAAACCCAATTGTTGTGTAAAGCTAACATTGCATTTGGCATTTTGAAACTCTTCAGGAAGCTCGTGTTAGAACACAGGGATCAAACGGACTTTTATCCTTTATTCCATCCTATAACTGGAATAAGATCATTCTATAAATTCAACAAAGCTCTGTTTGCCTCCCAGAGCTTTCAGGGAAATTTATGGGGTAATGAAAATGTGTTCGGAAAGATAAATTTCTATTTCATTCTCTGGATTTTTGTCACAGTTTCCAATTCCTGTATTAAATAATCTGTTTCTTTTAAAGAGGGTTATGCAACGTCAGGGCTGACAGCTGAGCTTGCAGGATGCTGTAATTAAGCTGAATTGTAAATAACTGCACAAAAGGGCTGCTGGAAACCCCAATCTCAGACCTGAATAAGCCCCTAATTTGTCAAAAATACAAAAGATATTCCACAGGTGGCATCAATTTCATGTTCTTGAAATGATTCCGTTAAAATGATACCAAATAATCGAATCATTAAATTTTTAGCCCTTGAGAGTCCCTTTCACCAGAGAGGTTCTTCCATCAGAGATTAGTGGCTGAGGCTGAGACTGAGATGGTTTAGAGGCAGCACATGACAGTTTAAGAGGCTGTGCTAGTTAGAAAAGCTTTTAGGATGTTGGGAAATGGTGGGGGTTGGATCGTGTGGAGCCAAATTACCCTCCCTTCAAATGAACATTTATGTTGTCTTGATTAATGCTGCAGAGATTTGCCAGGGAGGATTTCTTTTTGCTGTTTTTGCAGGTCAGCTTTTGCTCTTTTTCCACCTGAAGCCCCTGGCAGAGTGGCTGGAGAGGTCCTTGCAGGGCCACGTTAGTCAGGGCTAAATTAAAGCCCGGCTTTGTTATTTCAGACCGTGCCATCCTCGTGATTACAGCCTGGCTGTAGTTTTAGGAGCTGTTCTGTGGAACAGGGATGAGCTGAACTCCTTCTTCCCGGGCTCCCGTAATGACTCCAATTTCCAGGGGGAAGGCAAAGTGCTCTAATTACCCTCCTGAGCCTGGCAGAGGGGAAGGGGAGAGAAACCAGCGGAAAACACCAAATCGGGCACAATTCCAGCCTGATCTCCCATTCCCTTTCATGCTCAAAGCCTTTTGGAAGCCTTTAGACACTTCTGAGGAACAGCCATCCCATCATTAAACCTGTGCCCGTGCTACAAACAGGAGCTCTGCACCCCCTGGAGCCAAGAGCATCTCAGGAGCTGCAGCTCCTGCCTGGGCTGCTCCACTGGGATGTCTGAGGGTCTCGGGCAGGGTGGCACCAGCTCCTGCCCCCTCTGGGACACAGCAACTCACCCAGGGGGTGAAGTTACCCACAGCAGTGGATCCGGGGCTTTTCCTGCCTTTCCCAGTGGCTGCCGAGGGGTTTGGGGAACTCTGGCTCTGCTTTCCAGCATCTGCCAAACGGCTTCGACACGTTTTTTTGGCAATGTACTTTTAAAAGGGAAGGGATGCTAAATATTCCTTAGAGGCAGAGGCAGGGCTGGATGGGAGACTGGGCAGGGATTGTTCCCTGGGAGGGTGGGGAGGGGCTGGGATGGAATTCCACCTGCTTTTACAGTAAAAACCCCGTGAGGAACCCCTGAGGGAGATGGGGGTGCTCAGCCTGGGGAAAAGGAGACTCAGGGGTGAGCTCAGCGCTCCCCACAGCTCCTGAGAGGTGCCTGTGCTCAGGTGGGGCTGGGCTCTTTCTCGAAATACAGGTTGGATATCAGGAAAAATGATCTTTATTTACAAAAAGTTGATAAAGTTCTGGAATGTTCTGCCCAGGGTGGTGGTGGAGTCACCATCCCTGGTGTGTTTAACAAAGCCTGGATGTGGCACTGGGTGGTTGAGTTGAGGTGTTGGGACTCAATGTTCTTGCAGGTCTCTTCCAACCCGGGGATTCTGTGAATTTTGGGAATCTGGGGGAATTTTGGGAATCCCCAGGGACTGGGGTGGTGGTGGAGCCACCATCCCTGGTGTGTTTAAAACAAGCCTGGATGTGGCACTGGGTGGTTGAGTTGAGGTGTTGGGACTCAATGATCTTGCAGGTCTCTTCCAACCCGGGGATTCTGTGAATTTTGGGAATCTGGGGGAATTTTGGGAATCCCCAGGGACCGGGGTGGTGGTGGAGCCACCATCCCTGGTGTGTTTAACAAAGCCTGGATGTGCCAGGGTTTAGTTGAGGTGTTGGGGCTGGGCTGGACTCAGTTTTGCAGGTCTCTTCCAACCCAGCCATTCGGTGAGGATGAATTCCAGCCCATTTCCTGCTAGCATGAGAAAAATGTGGAATAACTGCAGCCCTGGGAGGTGCTGGGCTCCTGGACCCTCACCCCACCTTTCCAGCTCCCCCTCCCAGCCCCAGGGCAGCACTCCCCGCAGCCCCTGCGTTATTCAGCAGATGGAAAGCAGATTATTCCCGACCTTTGGTGGTGCCAGGACAGGGCAGAGCTCCTGGCTCCCCGAGCCCAAGGCTGCTGCCATTTCCTGACGAGGCAGAGGAGCAGATGGCTCTGCCTGGAGAGCTCCTTCCCTGCGAGGTTTTATTTATTTCTCTTCTTCCTGCCTGCACTTCAGATGTTTGAATGGGCACGAGGCAAATGCTTTTTATTCCTCTGCTGTTCCAAGGAGTGATCCTGCAATCCTGCAGCTTTTTTTTTGAGCAGAGAGGGCTTTAATTAAACTCTTCAGGGGGAATTTGCTTGATTGTATCACAATGGCAGAAGTGAAGAGGAAGATGTGCTGAGGATAATGAGTGCTGAGACAGTGGAAATGGGAGGTTTGTGAGTGATTTTCTTGTAGCTATTTGATAAAAGGGGCTCTGGGATGTGTTCAGGCCCCTGGTCAAGGCTGGATAAAATGCTGGTGGGAGGATTTGAGGCAAAAATGGATTTTCAAGGCCACTTCTGGGTTTGAATGGGTAAGAACAGCAACCAGCAGCAGCAGGAACGCTCCTCTCCCTCCAGCTCTGGGCTCCAGCTGCAGCTCTAGAGGGAGAGCACATCCCACTCTGTGAGCCAAGGAGCTCAGCTGCTTTAAAGAGATCATTTCTGAGGAGCTGGCCAGTGCTGGGTCTGCTGCTTTAATGTTTGGAGTTTCCTTGTGCCTTAAGACTTGAATTCAGAAATATTTAGAATTTAGAAAACAACCGTGCTGAGCTCTAAATCCTCTGGCTACGAAACTTCGCCCCTCACGTTAAAATTTACTCTTTAAACAGAAAGAGTTTAAGCCTCAGGGGAATAAATCAATGAGAAAAATTATTTTGAACAATCTTTTACCATGGAAAGACAGCAGCAAATCTGTTTTTGTTTGCAGCTTGGGAAGCTCTGCTGTTGTATGATTTAGTTGGGAAAGTGGGAATAACTGTGAATTTTGGCAGGGAAGCTGTGCCAGTTGCACAGATATTTGGGATGCTCTGGCCTCAAGGCTGTGTGCCTGTGACATGGTGCATAAAACAAATCCAACAATGGGTTTGATCCTGCACCTGAGATTTGGGGAAGATGTTCAGCACAATGAAATCTGGGTGAAATTGGATGAGAAATTGGACAAGAAACAAATGGAGCACTGATTTCTCACTGATCAAACAAAAATGCTCTGGTAGTGAAGCATTTAATGTGAGAAAGCACAAACTATCTGATATGAAGGAATGTAAATTGTGAAATTATTTATTGAATTACAGAGGACTTGGTGCAGGGAATGCCAGCATGTTCCCGTGTCTGAGCTCTCTGGGAGGAGTGAGATGTTCCCTGTGCCTTTGCCTGGATGCACTCGGAGATGTGGCATCCCCAAGGTGGCATTTTCGGGGCAGATTTAAACATCCACAGAGTGATTCTGTGATCCTGTTTGCAGTAAAATTTAAGCATTCACAGAGTGATTCTGTGATCCTGTTTGCAGTAAAATTTAAGCATTCACAGAGTGATTCTGTGATCCTGTCTGCAGGCAGATTTAAACATCCACTGAGTGATTGTGATCCTGTTTGCAGTAAAATTTAAACATCCACACTGTGATTCTGTGATCCTGTTTGCAGGCAGATTTAAATCTTTAGTGTGGTTCTGTGATCCTGTCTGCAGGCAGATTAAAACACTCACTGAGTGATTGAGATCCTGTTTGCAGGCAGATTTAAACATCCACAGAATGATTCTCTGATCCTGCTTGCAGTAAGATTTAAATATTTACAATTTGAATCTGTGATCCTGTTTGCAATCAGATTTAATCATTTACAATTTGAATCTGTGATCCTGTTTGCAGTAAAATTGAAACATCCACACTGTGATTCTGTGATCCTGTTTGCAGGCAGATTTAAACATTGACAAACCTGTAAAAAGCTTTTAACACCCATTTTAGCAGGGAAAGCTCATCCTGCCTCAGAAGTCTGCAGGTTTTATTTTGGGTATTCTGAAGCCTTTCCAAACCAACACCTATTGAAGGGAACTTTGTCTTTCCTCAAGTGACTCTGATGCTCGAGCTGCAGTGAAAACGATGAAATACAGGCACAGAGTGGGACATAAATAACAGTAAAAGCTGGGATTTGAGGCGTGGCAGTGACTCAGAGCACTGGTTGTTAAAAGAGTGGTGGTGATGAGCAGGATCTTCTGGGCAGCTGGGCTCAGCTCGTCCCCATCCAGATTTGGGGTGGATGTGATCCAGCCTGTCCCCAAAAGCCAGACTGAATGGTTTTCCTGAAAGGGGCATTAAAGGGTTTTGCCTGCTGTAAATTACTGTTGTACATTACGTGTTACATGGTTACGGTTTTCCCATTGCCTATTACCTATATTAAATGGTGATTTTCTATCTTTTATATGGGACATTACGTGTTACATGTTTACAGTTTTTCCCAATGCCTATTACCTATATTAAATGGTGCTTTTCTATCTTTTATATGGTACATTACGTGTTACATGTTTACAGTTTTTCCCCAATGCCTATTACCTATATTAAATGGTGCTTTTCTATCTTTTATATGGTACATTACATGTTACATGTTTACAGTTTTTCCCAATGCCTATTACCTATATTAAATGGTGCTTTTCTATCTTTTATATGGCACATTACGTGTTACATGTTTACAGTTTTTCCCAATGCCTACTACCTAAATTAAATGGTGCTTTTCTACTCTAAACCAATCTGTGAGTGCCAACATCACCAAGAGCATGGAGGCAAGAAAGAAGAAGGAGGAAGACCAGGATCAGCCCACTTTCCTCCATCTTAGAACTTCTGACCCCCATGTACAAAGTAAAAACCCTCCTGGACAGGTGCTAAAAACCTGCTGTACAATACAAAAAAAGTTTCCCCTCTGTTTTGTAACTACTTTTACTGTCCCATCTAACCCTTTGTGACTGCTTGTTCCACCTCCAAAGTTGGTAACTCATTCCATGGCTCAAACTCAAAATCACAGCTGTTTGCAGCTGCCTGCCAGGGTCTCAAATGCTTCTGACCAAGGCCTGGAACTTCTAAAAATGTCTGAGGGACATTTTGAGTTCCAACAGATGGGGAGAGAAGAAGCAGTCGGGGTCAGAGAGGATGTCAGGGTGTGTGTGTGCCTCTGCCTGAGCTGTGAGCAAACCACAGCAGCCCCAGGAGAAAATCTTTGAGATAACTTGCAATAAACTGCCTTGGGACCAAACAACAGACACTGCTGAGCCTTTCTTTGGGAGCAGGGCTGGAGGGGGGATTTTTCCCTCCCACGGAGCCACCCCACACCAGGGTGGGCTCTGTCGAGCCCCCGCAGCTCTGCAGGCTCAGCCTCCAGGGTGGGGATGTCTGAGGATTGCTGAGCCTGTCCAGCCTGGCAGGACCCAGAGCTGCAGCTCTGCCCCGCGAGCGGGGCCAGGACCTGGCGTGGCCCTGCCAGGCTTCCCTGGCACAGGGTCACAGCGCTGAGGTATCTCTAGCAAAGGATGTATTCTGGCACAGCCCCGTTTCCAGGTGTTTTCATAACACTGGCTCCCAAAAAATCCATTTCAAGGCTCGCTCGTGCCTCGTAATTACAGGTTGGTAGGAAGAGACAACAATTCCCTGTCACAGGAGGTGGAGTTTGGGCGGTGAGAGGGTTTGAAGTGAAATAAACCGAAAATATGAGGAGGAGAAATGAGAGCCGGAGGAGGGGAAGAGTGGCTGTGCTGTTTTTAACCCCTGAAGGGCTGCGTGCTGTGGGACCAGCAGGGAAGCAAAGTCCTCAAGGTGGGTGACGAAGGTGCTGTCAGTCAGATTTGGTGCTGTGGAGGCTGAATGTGTCCTGTGAGCCTGAAGAAGTCCTTGCACAGCTCTTCCAGGAGAGGATCTCGGTGCGTGTGCTGCACATCTATAACAGCAAAGTGTCGTTTAGCTGATGCTTTTTAAATTAATTATGGATTTTACAGTTATGAGCAGCTCTTCAGCCCTGCTGTCTCCCAGCCATTAACAGTTTATCTGCACTCAGAAGACTTTGAAAGAGTTTCCTCCACACCTCCAAAGACTCGGATGAGACTGGGAGCTGAAATAAATGTGCACGAGCAACGCAGGCACTCTGCAGCCCCCTAATTTGGAGCACATTTCATGATTGAATTACCCCCGAATATCTCATAATTTCCCTCTCTTGTCACCAAAGGTCGTGCAGAGCTGTAAACAATCAATGGTTCTCATGTCTGAGAGGGGAAGCCGGAACAGTTTCTCATGAGCTGTGAAGGTTAAACGAGGCACTTGCCAAGATCTATTGAGCACCACCCGGGCTTTACATATTTTATGGAATGTTTAGTGCATGCTCATTAATGGCTTATGACCAGCCAGAAGGATTGGGGCTGGGTGGAAATCATACCATTTACCTCTTCTCCTGGGGATTGTCCCAAAAAGTCTCTGATGGGAGTGGTCTCTGTGTGAGGGGCTGTGCCTGAGCAGGAGAGAGGAGCTCCTGGTGGGGAATATCCCAAACCTTGGAATCCCGGTGTGGAATATCCCAAACCTTGGAATCCTGGTCATCATTTCTGGCCCTTGGGCAATCCTGATCATAATTTATGGCCCTTGGGGAATCCTGGCCATCATTTCTGGCCCTTGGCGAATCCTGGACATAATTTCTGGCCCTTGGCGAATCCTGACCATAATTTCTGGCCCTTGGGGAATCCTGGCCATCATTTCTGACCCTTGGGGAATCCTGGCCATCATTTCTGCCATTGGGGAATTCTGATCATAATTTCTGGCCCTTGGGGAATCCTGATCACCATTTCTGCCCTTGGGGAATCCTGGCCATCGTTTCTGGCCCTTGGTACAGGCCTGCACTGGCTCCTCGCAGGGAGCAAGGACAGGGAATGGCCTCGGGTGCCACCGTGGGAGACTTAGATGGGACATAAGGACAATTTCCCCTCAGGATAGGTTGTCAAGCATTGGAACAGGGCAGAGGTGACCCCGGGGCTGCTGAATGGTGGCTGATGATCCTACAGGCTTTTCCCAACCTTAATAATTCCACAATTCAGAGCTCCACATTGGCCACTTTAGCCAAAGCCAGGACGCTGGGGCAGGGGGGAAGCAGAGCCACCTTCACCAGGCAGGGTTTGGTTTGCTTTCAGTTTGGGATTTTTTTTTGTTACAATTTTTTCTCTGTTTTTTCTCTCTCTGCAGGTTTGCAGTGGAAAAGGAGGAGCTCCCAGAGCAGCAGCAGGAGATTCAAACCCTCCAGATTCAGCCTTAAATCAGGCAAACAATCCCCTGCAGGGACCTGACCTGGCTCAGGTGGTGTCTGTGTGCTGCTGGAGCAGCTTTGTGGGTGTGAGGAGCTGCTGAGAGGAGGGACAGGGGAAGAGAAAGTCTCACCACAGCTCCTCAACCCAGAGCTCTGCCCCTCTGCAGCATCCCTGCACAGACACCTCCAGCACCCCAAAACCTCCACTCCCTCAAAGCCCACTCCCACTTTAACAAAAAGTTAAAAAGTCACTTTTTAACTCTTCTAAAATAGATTTTATTTCTGCCCTGGCATGGATTTTTTTGCAGGCCTCACATAAATATTTAGAAGCCCCCGTGTATCTTCAATTTGAAAGGGATTTCTCGTGATTCTTGGGCAGGGAATTGGAGCCTTCTCAGCCCCTGCTCCTCGTGTCCCTCTCTCTGCTGGCCCGGTCCCTTCCCAGGGTGACAAAGATTGTCTGGAGTGCTCAGTGATGCATCAGAGCCCTGGAGTGAGCAGGGTTTGAGTGACCATGAGCCCCCAAAATCCCCTGGTGAGGTGTGCTCAGGGCCCTGGAACTTATGAACACCCCAAAATCCCCTGGTGAGGTGTGCTCAGGGCTGTGGATTGAGCAGGGTTTATGAACACCCCAAAATCTCCTGGTGAGGTGTGCTCAGGGCTGTGGATTGAGCAGGGTTTATGAACACCCCAAAATCTCCTGGTGAGGTGTGCTCAGGGCCCTGGAGTTTATGAACACCCCAAAATCCCCAGGTGAGGTGTGCTCAGGGCCCTGGAGTTTATGAACACCCCAAATCCCAGGCTGGGCTGGGCAGGGACAGGGCTGGGTGCCAAGGACCTGCTCCTGTCACCACCCCGGTCCCCAGAGGATGGGCAGAGGGGTCACTGAATCATTTTTTTTTTGGAAAATCCCTCTGGGAACATCGAGTCCAGCCACTCCAGCCCTGCCAAGGCCACCCCGTGCCCAGGTGCCACACGCCCACAGTTTAAAGCCCTGCAGGGCTGGGAACTCCACCTCATGCCCCCAAACTCCTTGGGGTGGCTCAGCTTTGTCTCCCCGCAGTGATCCCCTCACTGGAGGCTGTGGAGCCCAGGTCTGCTTCCCCTGATGATGATTTCAGGAATTATTCATGCTGTGTGCTTGGAAGGATCCTCAGAGGCTTCCTTGGGAAGCTGCTGCTCCTCAGGGACTCGGCTGCTTGATATTCACAGGGTTTGTTTTTCAGAAATATCCAATTTTCCAGCTATTCTTTCAAGAAAATGAAGATTTTTTTTTTCGCCCCCTCTCCCGAGCTAGGAACACATTTCTCATGCAGCAAACATATTTTCTTTTGTCTTTTGGCAATTGCAGGGTGCAGCAGAGCAGCAGCGCTCCAGGGCAGTGCTGCTGGGCTGGGTCCTTGCTCCCTGGAGGCACAGGCAGGGTTCAGGGGGGCTGTGGGGCTTTGCACAGCCTGGAAACCCCAGCCCAAAACCTGCCTGGACTCCAGGGATGTTCCCCATGAGGGTTTGTGTGGGTTCCCCATGATGGGAGATCAAAACCAGGAGTTTTGGGTGCTCTGCAGTGAGGCCCAGTGGGGATGGTGGTGCTCAGTCAGAGGCTGGGTTGATGATCTTGGAAATCCTTTTCCCTATAAATCCCTCAGGGTAGGGGAGAGGACACCCCCAGCTGCTCTTGGGTTTTGATATTTGGAGCTGCAACAAGAAAATGGAGAGAAATCCTCACCAACAGCCTTTGCTTTTTGTTTTGGTCACTGCCATCCTGCTGGAGAGTTTGGGGATGGGGAATTAGGGAAATTCTGGCACTGCCCTGTGAGCAGCCAAAGGGTGAAGGCACTGAACAGCCCCAGAATGGTCCCAGAGTGACCCTGAGGGGCTGGGGCTGGGTGGGGGCAAGGGAAAGGGGATTTTAGCACCCCAGAATATCCTGGGCTGGAAGGGACCCACAGGATCACCCAGTGCAGCTCCTGTCCCTGCACAGACACACCAAAATCCCACCTGGGCATCCTGGCAGTGGTGCCTGAGCGCTCCTGGAGCTCTGGCAGCCTCGGGGCTGTGCCCATTCCCCTGGCAGTGCCAGCCCCCTCTGGGGATGAACCTTTCCCAAAACCCATCCCAAACCCCCTGGCCCAGCTCCAGGCACTCCCTGGGGTCACTGGTGCCACACAGGGCGCTGGGAATCATCCACAAAATAACTCACTCACACTAAGATTAAAAGAGCAAAAGGAAGTAACTTTTATTTCTGACCTCTCAATATATAGAATTTTACAAGTGGCAGTGGATTGGAGGATGGAAGTGC